TATAATAATAAAAGTTGTTATCTTTTATATAAACTACAATATTGTATTAAGAACTATAGATTTAAAACTAATATTTATAAGAGTTCATCAAGAATTTAAAACTAATTTTTTTAGTTAAAATTTTTTTTTAAATTTATTTGTTTTTAGCTTATAAACAACCAAAAATTTTTTTTTTTAACAGTTAGAGATTTTTCAAAGTTGTATAATGCAAATTATTTTGTTTTTTGGTAAAGATCTGCAATTTTGTAATACAAATTTTGGTGTATTATTACATTTTTGTTATTTAGTATAAAACTACCTTATAAAGCTTTGGGGATCCCTAGAGATTTCTAAACTACATAGCCTTAGGATACTTTTTGTAAAAAAAATTTAAAGGATTTTTTAAAACTAATAGTTATTTTTAGATAATAAAAAATATTTTTGTTTTTTCAATTGAAATCGGGTTTTAAAATACTCTTCTAATATATTTGCAAATTATTTTCATATCATATATAATCCTAAACTATATAATATAAAATTAAATACTATTATAATATAATCTTTATTTCAAATATTAACAAAAAAAATTTTATTTAAATATTTTAAATTTTAAAAAAAGTAAATTATAAACAAAGTTATAGCAATTTTCTAGACAAATTTGTCTAGAATTGCTTACAGTTTAAGGAATAGAAATTTTTTTTTTTTTAATATTTAAGAAAATATCTTGAACATAGTACTTACCCTAAACTTTTATTAATACTTAAGTAAATTAATATATGGTGGTGCTATAAATATAAATATATTACATATTAGTATTGAAAATAGAACTTTAAATATACAAACCATTTATCTATAGCTAAAACTTAAAGTTATTAATATTCCTATATATATAATTGATCTGGATTTTGTATATTCTTACTTGCTATTAATTAACTTTTATATATTCTCTGCTTTATCTACTTTATCAACTATCTCAACTTCCAAATTGGTGTATTAATACAACCATTCAGGCCTACGAAGGTAGCATGAAACCATACACCAAGGCTAAAAGTACCCCCGACCTGCCCAGAATCCCATACAACTCTATTACACAAATCGAATCAGACAACAAGTCCAACAAAAGCAACAGTGAACACAATATACACCCCTTAGCCCCCAAAGAACCAGTACCACCACAGGACTCAGCCAGTGACCAAACAAACACAAGCACAGCTACAAACAGCA